GGGTGAGCGGCGAGAAGAGGACAACGACCAATATTGGTGAGCGCGCGCACAAAGGTGCTGCATACAGGGCTGGGCACTAGATATCGGGTCCTCGCCCAACAGAGGTGCAGACCGCACCCCGCGCGCTCTCCTACGAGCCACAAAACGCCATCGCCCTTCTGCCTCTCAGAGTAGAGTGTGCTCTGCACACAAACACAGAGCAAAAAAAAATCCACATGCTTTTGGTTGAGCGCAAGTGATGCAAATATTTTTTTACGGGGAAGGCACACTAGAAACGCAAATGTGTGAATGCGGCACCCTTGTAAGGGTGTGGGTGCCCATTTGTACACCTAAGGTGATATACGGGTGAATTTTCCTCCGTATTGCACAGACTTGTGCCTCCATGTGTACGAATGGCGTTCATACACCTACAAGTGTACGGATGTCGTTCATTACACCAACAAGTGTGCGAATGGCGTTCACACACCTACAAGTGTACGCGTGGCCCTCATACACCTACAAGTGTACAAATGGCGTCCATACGCCTACAAGTGTACGAATGGACTTCACACACATACAAGTGTGCAACGTTCGCACACTTGGGTTCCTCCGGTACGCCAGTATGTCCTGCATCCGCGCCGGTCCAGTACGGCCGATTGGCCACCTCCCTTTGGACACGACGGCACGTCGGTTCGCGGCGTAGCTCCTCCATCCTGGTGCGCGGCCAGCCGCAGCCAGTCTCCTCTCCCCCAAGGTTCTTGCCCTCCAAGTCCGCCCCAGAGGGAGGGGGGGGGGGCTGAGAGGAGGGTGGGCTGGGAGGCGCTGCTGGGGCACGTGTCGGGATGTGGTCCATGAAACAGCAACAGCCGCCGGGGGCCGGGCCGGGGCCGGGCCGGGGCGGGGCCGGGGCTGTGCTGGCACGCGCCCAGGGCAGCGCCCCCTCCACATCCCCGCGGAGGCAGCTGCGCCAGCTGTCGGGGCGTGCCGCCGAGCAACAGGGCACCCGCCAGCGGCCCGCCACCCCCCCACAGGACCAGCGCACTTACGCCCCAAGCGACAACAAATCGAGTTTGAGGCAGCAGGGCGAAGGCGGCGGCGGCGGCGGCTCCCGCCCCGAGCAGCGAGTGGGAGAAAAGGGAGGAGAAAAGCCCGACATCACCTGGGCAGATCGCAAAGCGGCGACGGCCATCGCAATAACACGAGAGGGGGAGGAGGGCTGAGGCGTGTCGTCGGTCCACATCCCACTTACCTTTTGTCAGAGGTGCTGGAGTGCTCTCCGTCTCATGGTGATCAGAGAAGGCTGAGGACAAAAGACACAAGAATACTGTAAGACACATTGGATTTAAAAAAAAAACTGGCAGGTTTTGTTCAGATTATGAGCCTTTATGTCGCGACGACCACTTACGGCTTTTCGAATTAAGGAGTAAAGTAAGGCGAAGTAAGGAAATCAGAACCGGAACCAGTTCAAAAATCACTGCTAACCCAGTGCGAATGAACGTTGACTGTTTATGCAGTTACTGGGTAAAGCCGCGGTGAACATCAAAACTGAAATCACTATGCTTTAACATGATGACTTCCATTTTCTTGTTCGCTATATTCTGCATTTGGCTACATTAGGATGGCGTCAAATATGAAAATCAGCGAACTTTTCGAAATGGTTTTGGTCCTGGCTGATTTCCTTAAATCTTCTCGAGACGCCCAGAACCGTGTGCGTGGTCTCGTTCTTATCTCCAGCAGGTGCGCGGTTTTAAGTCCGGGTGACGAGGAGAGCGAGTTACTGTGCGTTGCCTATATTCAGGGAGTTTTGTAGGTCGAATTGCCTACCTATGTGTCGGGTTACTAAGACCGGGCAAGGAGGCGATTTGGGCCGACAGCGAGGGGTGCCAAACTGAGGTAATCAGCTGTACACAGAGTAGGTAATCCCTAGTAATCACCGGTAATCATTGCTTATCGCCATTAATCCTTGGTAATCGCCGGTAATCCTTGGTAATCACCGGTCATCCATGGTAATCGCCGGTAATCCATACTAATCAAAAAGTAATCGTTGGTAATCACCAGGTAATCTTTGGTAATCACAAGGTTATCACCAGTAATCACTAAGAAATCCAGCAAGGAAATTCCTGGAAATCTTTGGTAATCACTGGTAATCTTGGTAATCTTTGGTAATCACTGGTAATCAATGGAAATCAATGGCAGTCGCGATGGCAATCTTTGGTAATCTCTGGTAACCTTTTGACAGTAGTAATCTTCGGAAATCCTTTATAATCATTGGTAATCTTTGGTAATCTCAGGTAATCCTTGGTAATCATCACTTTTTGGTAATCAGGTGTACACCGATTTTTTCGAGTTGGGCACCCCTCGGCCGACAGGGAAGGGTAGGGGAGGGGGGAGGGCGATCGGCCCTTTGCCCGCGCCCCGCGCCCGATCGCCAGGGGCCTTCTCCTGCAGCACTATGCCACCCTGTAAAATGCTTGCAAACTATCTTATTTGCTGCAATATTGCAAAGAATGTGCGAGCTTTGAATTGGAAAGAACAAGTCTGTACTACTGCAAAGAAATTATTTGCAAGAAACTGTCAGGTGTTCGTATTGCAAGAGAATAGTTTGCAAGCCTAGCAAGAACTAGTTCGTGAATTACAATGCTTCAAAACGTAACAGAAAACGTAACAAGCTGACGTTCCGTTTCTTTTACGGCCAGCCTGGAAATCGAAGTGTGCGAGTGTCTCACAACTGCAGATGAGTGAAAAAATTCACACACATACTGTACTGGTGTGCGACAAAATTTTTACACATCTGTAGATGAGTGAATGACCATTCGCACACTTGGGGCGAGTAAACCTTTCCAAGCGTGCGAATCTCGATTCGCTCACCTACACATGTGTGAATGTTTTATCGCTC